TTTTCATATCATGATGTGATAGCAGTTCTTGTATATGCGTGTGTAACCTATATGTAATATTATGTGATAGTTTGTGTATAGCTAGCATAAACTGTGGAAGGTAGCCTGCCCTATTAAAAACTCAGCTCCGGAGTGTGTGGCTGGGCTCTCACGATGGGGAGTTGTGGAATTTCAGGTCACTCACTGTAGAATTACACTATGAATTTGAGAATTCCTGCCAGTAGAATAGGATGGAATGTGGTTTCATTTTTCCCTTCCCACCAGGATCTTGCCCAATTTGGCAACTGGATGCTAAATTAGGGTGGGATTAGTTGAGGGAAGTGGTCCCCTGTGGAGCTGCCTGTCTAGTGGAATGTTACAGAAAGCACACTGGTTATCTGTTACTGAGAAATTGGGAAGGGGCAGAGAGTGTCTATCCCCACAGGCATCAGAAACACTTTCCTGTCTTTGTTCCCTTATCCCCAACTATCCTTATGCCGGGAAAGCCATACACATGGAATTACCCCTTCTTTTGCTTCTGTTTTCCACTGACAGTACAGGCAGGGTGGCGGTATCTTGCAGAGGGGAACGCCCAGGAGACTAGGGAAATGGAGAGCTTACCTGATTGCAGGCTGCTCTGTGCCTCTCACTAGCCTGACCCCACAGTTTCTTGGAACCTCAGTTTCTCTGAAAACATGACCTGGTGGTGGTAGCTTGCCTCTGTCCTGCCGAGGAGATGACTTAGTGTGCGTGTGTTCTACAGGGAGAAGGCTCCGGTCAGAGTCACTGGTATCCCTTCCTGCCTTGTCCCGCCTCTCCAGTGCTCTGTTTATTTGAACTAATCACTACGGATTTGATGGCATAAAACAGCAGAGGTGACTTCCCTCACCGTTCCGCAGGCCAGATGTTACCAGTTATGTGTGCTTTTCCCAACCCCCAGGTGGAGACCCCTTTTGTGTTTCTTTAGCATCTGAAGGTTTCAGGCCCCTGTGGCTTTGACCACATCCCTGCACTCTTTGCTTAGGTGATTATATTGCCTTCTCCTCAGGGCTGTGTCTTCTCTGCTTCATTGGGCCCCAGCTCTTATGTCTTTGCCTTGTTCTGTGTTTATAAGCAGGAGAAAACCCTTCTCTCTGGGCGCTCAGTGCGGTGGGTCTGAGCTCATGGACTCTGAGGTCAGAACCACCGCCCTCTAGTCAGCAGCTGTCAGTCATCACCCAGACCCGCCTCCTCTTATGTCTGTCTTATTCTTGCTTTGTCCCTGTCTGCAGCTGGATCACCCCACATCACCTCTACCCTTGCTTTGATTCTCCTGACATAGCTTCCCTAAATCAGTTCGTCAGTTCCAGCTGAGGTAGCTGACTTCAGCGTGACAAACCCCTCACTCCTCTGCTTTTATCCCATCCTGCTCGAGTTACTTCCAGAACCTTCAGGAGCCAATGTGAGCTATAAAGATGGTCTGAGAAACTCCACAGTTTGTTAAATGAAAGTGACCCCGATTATACGTCAGTAGCTTCACGGTGATTGATTACCTGAGGCTAGAGCTCCACTTAAGAGCTAAGCCCTGCGTTTCAGTGACCACGGGGACAGCTGGAGTATTTACTCATGTTGTTAGTCAGTTTCCTGACCAGTTCTCACAGCTACCTTGTGAGGCAGGCTTAGTGCCATCACTCATGGGTGACATCACATGTGACACCATGTGGCATCCTGGGAGTCAGCCTTGTCAAGTTTGTTCCAGATAATCCTTGGACTGCCTCACCAATTAGATAAGACCTTTGAACTGGCAAAATCCAAGGTCATTCCAAACACAAATGAATGAAGGCCATCTCTAGGCATCTTGGCACTGCATATATAAGCCCGTGGCTTGTAGAAAAGAATCCATGTTCTATAGAAAGCCATAGATTTGCTCCAAGGATAGGAAAGATGTTTGAGGAGGATGCTTTGGAAGGGCATGTCTGCTGGGAGGAGAGCAAGTGCCAGAACTTATATATTCTAAGACCTGGTTACATCTGAATCCAGTACAGTGACTGGGGACTAGCCACACGGTATTTCTGAGCCTCCATTTCCCTTCCATGCAAGGAGATTGGTGGATAGGCACAAGAGTCAAACTGTGGGGACTGGAGAGATATCTCAGCGGGTAAGAGCACTGGCTGCTCTTCCAGGGGTCCTGAGTTCAATTCCCAAACTACATGGTGGCTCACAACCATCTGTAATGAGATCTGATGCCCTCTTCTAGCCTGCAGGCATACGCGCACAGCACTCAGACATAAAAATATAAATAAATAAATTAAAAATTAAAAACAGGCTCAGGTTGTACATACAGTTAGAGTTCAGTAGGCACTTATGAGTCACAGCTCTGCTGGGATACCCTTGTTTCCCCTGGAAGGCCTTCTCGGGCCTCCCACTCCCTCCACCCAGCCAAGGCAGCCAGTCTGTTCTAGGAGCCTTCTCATCGTGTATTGCCAGCATAACCTGCTGCGGTTACGCCACTCGTATGGACGTGGGTGCGTTCCTCTCTGTCGCCAGGGCCTGATGTGGTTAGCTTGCTAGCTTGACACACTCTGGGGTCTTCTGGGAAAAAAGTCTCAGTGAAGAGTTGTAAGAATCAGCTCGGCCTGTGGACGTGTCCAAGGAGGGTTTTCTTTCTTCTTTTTCAAATGCATCTATTTATTTTACATCCTGGAGGCAGCCTCCTCTCTTATCCTGCCCTCCCAGTCCCTCACCCCCGGTCCCCCCTCCCCCCCCCCCCCCATACCACAATCCCCTCCTCTTCCATCTCCATCCAGAAAAGGGCAGGTCTCCTATGGGTATCAATAAAACATGGCATATCAACTTACGGTAAGACTACACACTTCCCCATGTATTAAGGTTGGGCAAGGCAACCCAGGATAAGTAGGTCCAAGAAGCCAGTAAAAGAGTTGGAGACAGCCCCTGTCCGTGATGTTAGGAGTCCCACAAGAGGACCAAGCTACATACCTGTAACACATATGCAGAGTGCCTAGGTCAGTCTCATGTAGGCTCCCTGGTTGTCGGTTCAGTCTCTGCAAGCCCCTATGAGGCCCGGTTAGTTGATTGTGTGAGCTTTCTCATGATGTCTTTGACCCTAAGGAGGGTTTTCCTGATTACATTAGCTGATTATGGGATGACCCAGCCCACAGTGAAGGATGCTATAGTGAGTTTGGGTCCTGGGCTGTATAAAAATGGGGAAAGTGAGCTTGGTAGTGTACACGTGCCTGCATTAATTCCTTTTTCTCCACTCTTGAGTGTTGGTATGATGTGATTAGCTGCTTCACATTCCTGCTGTTCTCACTTCCCTGTAACCATGCCCCTGGAGTTTGACCTAAAACAAGCCTATTCTCCCTGAAATTGCTTCCGGTCAGGTGTTTTATCCCAGCAGCAGGGAATGAAGGGGGAGTCTGCCTGATTCTGAGCTAGGTATATAGCTGGTGCTCAGAACGTGTCTGTGTTGAGGGGAAAACATAGCTCTCTCTTCAGTTGAAAAAAGAGAGAGTTTATTCTGTAGGCAAATGTAAGTGGCCATGGTCCAGAAAAACAGATTCAGGTTATCACAAATATGATGTTTAAACATTAGTCATGTTTTTACAGTAACAGGAAAAAAAATAAGGTAAATTTAAAATGCATTGGTGGGAGCATCAGTAGCTGGGTTACAGCCAAGTCTCTGCTATAAGCCTGAGATGGAAGCTAAAAAGGATTTGCCCCAAGGATGTGAGGTCAAATCCAAAGGCGAGCAAGAATGTCTATTAAGGGGACTAATAGGGAACCCAAGGTAATTTGGGGTCTGGCATTGCAACATTCCAGCTCTCCATAATCACAGAAGTTCAAGTCCGTCTGTCAGCCTTGCAGGACCTTTAACACGTGTGCAGCAGTTTTTCTTGGAACTTCAGTTCACGTCTGCATAACAGAGGAACCTCTCTGGAGCGACTTTTAGCTCAGTGCCTAGCATGGCAGGTCCCAGGAAAGACCAGCTCAACAGAGGGTGGAATTGCTCTGGCTGGAGCTTGCATGCTGCCATGTTTCCCACTTCCGGTGTGTATGGAAGCAGGAAAATGGTCATGGCTGCTTGCTAACACGTTCTTACTGCCAAACGTCCCTGTGCACAGACAACCTCACTTACAACCTAGAAGGCACTGGGACCATTCTCTTACCAAATATACTGACATCAGAGGCTCGGAAACTTGCTAGTCATGCTTAGGAGGAGGTGGTAGGTGTGTGTGTGTGTGTGTGTGTGTGTGTGTGTGTGTGTGTGTGTGTGTCCCGGCAGCCTGGCTCTGGGGCACAGCCTCCAAACTGTTCCAGCCATTGCTTTCCTTGCAGGGAGACAGGACAATTTCCCTGCAGCTAAAGGGAGTCCAGGTCTTCTGGTTTGGAGGGAGGCATCTGGCTGGAAGTTGAAGAGCGGGACTCCTGAAGACTCCATACCTGCTCTTTGAGATCACAACTCACATATTAGCTACCTCCCTCATGGCTGGGACAAATCGCCCATTAAAGCAACTTCATGAAAAGTTTCTTTGGCTCATGGTTTGAGGGTGTAGCCTACCTTGGTGGAGAGGAGGAAACTGGCTGTGTCGTAGGTGTAGTCAGAAAGCAGAGCGGGATCAATGCTGCTACCCAGCCTGCTTTCTGGGTTTTGTCAGCGACCCCAGGCTATGGCATAGTGCTATCCTTGCATAAGGTGGGTCTTCCTACTGTGTCTTAATCTAGAGAAACTCTCACAGATAAACCCAGAAGTGTATTCCCATGGTGATTCTAAATCCAGTCAAGTTAATAATAAAGATTAGTCATCACAGTGCTCAAAGCCAGCCTGCACTGTGACTCTCCTGGTTCCTGGGCACTTTAGTTGTCTCTTAGGACTAAATTAGTATAGATTGTGACCCAGGCTGAATTATATGCATTCTGTTTTGAATCTTAATTGTACCCTTGTCTTCATGGATTCAGGGGAGAAACTAACCCTGTGCCAAGTGTCTCAGGTTCAGGTCCCTAAACATCCTCTGTCTCTGCAGGTCCCACAACGGATGGCCGTGGCAGAGGGAACCCCAGAGGACAATGGTGGTGGCTCTCCAGGAGTCTGGGGCTCTTGGGGCCCCTGGTCTGCCTGTTCACGCAGCTGCAGTGGCGGTGTGATGGAGCAGACGCGGCCCTGCTTGCCCAGCTCCTACCGCAGTCGTGGAAGTTCGCGACCCGGTGGCCCTACGCTGTCCTTCACTGGCCATGTCGTGTCAGCCGTACGCACCTCAGTACCACTGCATCGAAATCGTGAGGAGCAACGTGTCCCGGCTGGCTCCGATGCCAGCCGCCCAGGCCCCACAGTGGTGCGAGGGAGCCGCCACCCACAGGCCCGGGGCCGAGAACCCTCAGAGAGAAGGTATGTGCACACCATGGTCCCTGTGTCTGTCCCTGCCTTGACAACAGGGGAGCCTCTACATTGATTGTGCAGAAAGAGAGGAAATCTTACCACAGCCCCTTCTGTGCATAAATGTGCCTGTGGGGGCCGGTGGAGACCATAGCACAGCATCCGGTGTGATTCCTCAGACCAAGTCTACCCTTCAGTTTTTTGAAAAAAAGAAAAGTCCCTTACTGACTGGAAACTCACGATTTGGCTAGACTGGCCAATCAGGAGCCTTCAGGATTCCACCGGCCTGCTCCTCCCAGCTACACCTAGCTTTGCTCCCCCACCCCTACCTGTGTCCTTAGGGGTGGAACGTGGGTCCTCCTCCTTGTGTACAATTGCCACTTTCCCAGCGCCCACATAGCTTTTTACTGATTTTACAGCCTCTGCAGTCCCGAGGCTGCTCCTATCTGGCTCTTTGATTGTAAAGTTACTTCTCAAAGTGAAGATGTAAATGGAGGCTGCTCATTTGTTTCCTAGCCACCCAGACCTGAATAATCACACAAAACTATATCAACTGCAACACTGCTTGGCCAATGACTCAGGTGTATGTCTAGCTAGCTCTTAGATCTTAAATTAACCCATTTCTATTAACTGTGTATCGCTATGAGGCTGTGACCTACCGGTAAGTTTCCAGCGTCTTTCTCCTTCAGCAGCTACATGGCATCTCTTTGACTCTGCCTACACACACACACACACACACACACTATCTATCTATCTATCTATCTATCTATCTATCTATCTATCTATCTATCTATCTATCT